TCCTGCATGAATGAGAGCTACATGAATGTTATCATTTCATTACGAAGACTATTTTGAAAAGCCTCGAATATCTTTAAATGAGATTGTTTCGACCGTCTCTAAATGAGATATCTTTTTAAGAAATTCTAATGCAAGTAACATTAAGTGAAAGATTTTGAATTGTTGTGATATTTCAAATGCTATTCCTCTTGAAATGTTAGAAATCTCTAACTATGAAAACATCACCTCTCTCCCTCTAGTTATTGAGGTAGCAAAGATTGTGTTAAATCATTTCAAAACTAATTTAATTACATAAAATTCAGGAGCTATTTAAAATATAAGAGCATTTTAAATTTGAGAGAATTTTAAATTAAAAAGTTTTTAAAATCCGAGAGTTATTAAAAAAAATTGATAGCAGTGGAATTTAGAATTTGTTTATTGCTTAATTTTTTAATTAATCAAATGAGATCTTAAAATAAAAAATTGCAATAAATAAGAGAAGGGGGGGGGGGAAGAGAAGTTTCCATTAAATAGCATATGCAACATTGATTGCCAACTCTCCAAAACTCTCAAACTCCCCAAATCCTTTATACAAGTTGCTCTCAAACTCTTAAACTCTTCAATAACAATACAAACAACTCAACACACTCAATTTGAACTCCTCTGCATGCTCTCCAAAGCTCCCATGTACGAGCTCCTACAGTTTCTGGTGGGCTCTTTCCTTTGCAACTTCAAGTTCCGGCTACTGCAACTACTGGTTAGGAACACCTACAAATAAACAAATGAAGAGTCATTACATCATAAATAAATTGAATGAATGCGAATAAATTTAAGCTACTGCGGGTAGAACAGAGTACTGGAAATCAAGAAAAGCTTAGTACGAAAAAGTTAGTAGAGCAACAGTGCTAAAAAAATGAGTAGAGTAGTGGACTACTGTAGTAGAAAAAAGACTACGAGCATAGAACAACTAAAATACTAACGCCAGTGTCAAAACTCCGATCATAAACTTAAATCAACTCAAACAAGTACATAACAAATCTCCAAAAATTGTATAAGCAACTACTTTCTATTTAAACAATCAAATTTAAACCCATTGGCAACCTTGTTTATAAGAACTTGGTTGTAAGACCTATTATCCGACAACTTTCGAGGGAAAAGTCATAAGTCCGACCTTAGGATAAAGTTTTAGGTAAAATTTACCTAACCCTTAACCCCCAATTAAAACGCCAGTCACTTCTAATAGAAGTTGTAAGTCTGACATATGAGGGAAATGTTTATGTGATAATACAACCCTAGACCCCTCACTTGGGCATCTTAGTCTATAGGGCTAGGTTGTAAGACCCATCACTCGGGCCACTTAGCTTACAAGGCTAGGTTGTAAGACCCATCATTAGGCAACTTCCAAGGAAGCAATAAGACCTATCCAACTGAAATCTTTAGGCTACCTTTAGTAGAGGTCGTAGGTCCCTACCCAAATCTAATCATATGAACAACTCTTGAAAAATCAAGGCAAGAACCTCAAGAGAGAATTTCATCTTTAAATAATGTTTTGAAATACAATAATTATGATTCCTATGTTGAAAGCATGTGGAATTTATATCATAGGATTTTCTACCCAAGTAATTAAAGCCTTTGGGCATCCTAGCCTCTAGGGTTAGGTTGTAAGACCCACTAGCGAGCTACTTCTAAGTGAAGTCGTAAGTCTCACGTTTTAGGAAAATTGTTAAATAAATAATAATGATCCTAAGCCCCAAACAATTTAATTTTAACCTATGGGCATCTTTGTCTAAAAGATTAAGTTTGTAAGACCCGCTTTTCAGGCCACGTTCTAAGAGAAGCCATAAGTCCTACCCAAATAATTAAAATTCTCAGGTAGCCTCACTATAGAGTTAGGTTGTAAGACCCATTATTGAGCAACTCATAAATAGAGTAATAAGCCCCATCCTAAATTAACTACTTCGGTTACTTTCTACGAAAGCCGTAAATCTCAATCTAAATCTAAATAGTTGGGCTACTTCCTAAAGAAGTCATAAGACCCGCTCCAATCCAAACTCTGGGATTATTTCTAAACAAAATTATAAATCCTAAACTAAATTAATTTTTGGGTATTCTAATAGATGTAAACCCCAAAACACCCAATAAAATTAAAACACACATTCAACCACTTTTGTCAACTCGGGATCCCTAAGAGGAGACAACCCATGACTGCTAATCAGATTCACTGGACACTACAATCAATGATTGTTAGTATTGGTAGATTGGAACTACGGTATACCCGGGATGACGGAACCATGGGATCTTGATCGGGTTTATCTTCATTTTCCCCACAATTGAGACTAAACTACCTAAAATTTATTCATCCTTAATCGAGAGTTCTCTCTTATATGTTAAGAGGGGTAATTAGCTATGAGTGCTTGCGCTCATGGGAAGTAAGAACCCCAGATCTAATTAAATCCTGATACTACCCTCATGGAAAATCTGGTTAATTTCAATCTGACTTAAGAGAAATGGAATCCTACGGCTGCAAAGCGGGATTCATGCATTCGTGCCGCTTTTCTTGAGCCAACACTATCCACATGTATGCCAACTGCCATTGTAATTGCTTGTAAAGTAGGAACAACATATGGACTCATTCTTTTTTTTAATAAATCCTTTAGCAGTCCATCAACCTATCATTTATGGTTAGCATATTTTGTTGGATTCATCATGTAATATGGCAAGTTATGCAATGATGATCAATAAATTAAATCAACTGCATGCTATATGCCCTAAAATGGTTGTAATTTATTAGAAATTTCATTAGAACATATATGTTTAAAATTAAATAACACTTGACTAGAATGCTTAGACTTCGTCACATTTTTAAGAAGATGTCATTAAGTTCAATAGCCACTAAAGCATAAATTAAACTCTACTTTTAACTCTTTCACATGCATTTAATTCAATAGAGTTTTAGTTTATTCGGATCATGCAATTGATAATTTTTTTTAATTACCCTTCTCAAATTACTCTTAAACACATAATTATCTTATTTCCAACCTTAGTCAAGTCCAAATCATACAACCATGGTCTATCCAAAATAACATGTGCAACATCCATGGGTAGAACATCAAATCAATAATTGTTAGTATAGATAACAAGTTGAATGGTTAGTAATATATATTTTTATCGTAGAAATAACAGTCAAAATGATGTTAGCATGGAATGGTAACGAAAAAGCTTTGTGAAAGATCCGCCATTAGCATATGAAGATCAAATTTTGCTACAGGTTGGGTTTGAATAACCCAACAACAGATTAACCATTCCAGCATCGAACCAACAATAGGGTTAATCCAGATTAGAAGCAAACCAAATCAGAAAAGAAATAATAATAGAGAGCACATCGTGTTGTGGCATTATCCTCAGTGCCATATTTTCTAAAAACTAAAATTGACAGAACTACAAATAAAATAATTAAGCACTCATTGAATCATCAAATTACTAATTTACTTGACATTTTCAACTAAGTGTAGACTTGCAGATCTTCATTAAATAATTCATGGTTTGTTGTGCTCCAATTTCATTGATATAAACTAGTAAAAAACTATTTTGAAAATTAGTCACTTTGTAGTTCTAGATCGTTCTAGGTAACTACAATTATTTATGAACGATTGCAGCAGTTAACTTATCAATTAAGACAAAATTAAACCTAACACCATGGTTGAATGTTTTCATGCTCGGCATTCTAGACGTCTTGGAATATATATATATATTATTGGTTGAATATATATATATATATATTGTTTGAATCATGTTTTAATTGGTTTTAAAGGTGAATCTCTTATATTTATGTTCTTAAATGATGGCAAAATAATTAACGCTTATAAGAAAGTTATAGATGAAATTTCAATACTTGTTAACTTGTGAAAATTAGTTTTTGTGTGGACATTCTAGTTATGTCCTCAGTTAGATTTGAATGGTCATCAAAGCAATAGCCATTTTAAGCTATGGAGTGTGAGTCTTCATTGCACCCGCATAGCCACTTTCTCTTTACCATGCTCTTAAATGGTATAATTTTTTGGTTTTCATCCTTGACATTGAAGTACTTGGGTTTTCATTGTGAAAATGCTTTCTATTTATGCCTTGTAGAAAGAAGATAAAAAAGTTTTTTTTGACCCGAACAACATTTTATGTTTTAGATGTCATTGATTCCATCAACCGTTTTTTTTTTTTTTTTAATTTTAAATGTTTATGGATATTCTTTATCATAAACTTTGAACCTAAAAGTCTTGCACATCTTTCCCATGCTTGAGGTTTACATATTTGTAAATCACAATCGAATCTATGTAAGCATTGGTTTATACATTCCTCTTAGTTTCGACTTTAGGGATAAATTTTTTCACTATCTTTTTTCGAGAACCACCTGAAGTTCCAGCTAAAAAAGTGAAATGATTTTTCATTTTTTCCATTGAAGTAATGAGTATCTGTCTATTAGGTGGAAAACTTTGGTAAATCCACTTGAGTGGCAATATCGAAGACTCCTCATGAAGCCAATTCCACCATGCTCCTTTTATGAATTAATTTAAGTGACTTGACTTATCCAATATGCATGGTATCACCACAAATGAGGAGGATAACAATTTGTACCAATCACTTGAGCTTATTTCAAACCATTTGCCTAATAACATTTTTTGGGGCAAGATTTACTGATTTGCCACTATGATTGGTTATCTTGAGACTTTGAGATGAAAAACTTCAAATACAAACTTCCATTAAAAAGGCAAGATTTTATCTGAATGATCATCCAATGCCAATTTCTATGCAATCTCGAGTCTTATTTTCCCTTTCCTTTTTGTGCTACTCGGGTTTTTGATGAGTTATAGTTCTCTTCTTTTAATAATTTATAGATTTAGTATAGCTTAACCACACATATTCAAGAAACTTTCGTTAATTACATGAAACTCTCCTTAATTACATATTTCTTTGGGTTAATACTATCAAATTAGTTCCTATGGTTATATGTTAGCTTAATTTCATTGTAGGTTGCAACTTTTATTGTTCAAAAAATTCTTCTGGATGATGTTGGGCTGCGGTATATCTGTGCTACAGCTGAGAGGTTTTTTGCCGTTGGAACAGTGCTGGCAAACATGGTTGTATTACTTGCTGAACAACCATCTACTAGGCTGCTCAAGCATATAATTCGTTGTTACCTAAGGCTTTCAGAAAATCCAAGGTTTGCATATGCCAATATTTTTCTATTACCATGCTTTACAATATTTTCATGGAATATCTGACTCGAGGAATTTTCTTGCTTCTAAAAATTACAGAGCATGTGAAGCTTTGCAGAATTGCATTCCAGAAATGCTGAAGGATGGAACTTTCAACAATTGTCTTAGAGTAAGTAGTTCTTAATTTATAACTTGCCAGGTTCTATTGACCTCTTAGCTTGGTAATATTTGGTTTCAGTCCATAGCTTTCTATTAATGCCTTAGGCTTCATATGGCTGGGCTTTCTGCATAACAAAAACTGTTTGGCGCATCACGGGTTTGGCTTTTCTTTTTGGTTTTCCTTTTGTGAGAAGCAAGTGGATGTTGTTTGAAAAGCTGGTACCATGTGGCATCCTAAGTAGCCACACCTGCCAAAACGCCCTCAGATTAAGGGGTTATTTGGATACAGGATTTATGCAAGAGTTGAGTATGATTTATGGTAAATTCTACCAAACAGAATTTGAGAAGAAGGTAAATCTCATGGCAAGATAAATCCACCGTTTCCATCTTTTTTCCATAAATCCCAAATTTATTAAATCTGGAAGTTCAGTGGATTTACGGGATTTGTCCAAAGAAGAAAGCGGAAGGGAGAAAGATGGTTGCCTTTGTAGCGAATGAGCTTCCGTCGCCACTTTTGATCCAACATGAAGATTGTCGTCAAACTGTTGTGACTGCCTATCTGACATGAAGGGTGTCCTCGAAGGAGGCGAAGAAGCTTTTTTGTAATTCATTCTAAACTCTAAGGGACGCAAAGCAGGTGAAGTTGAACAACAACAAAGAATTTAGAAGAGGAAAAGCAAACCCTAATCGAATAGTGACATGCGAGCTCCCGTTGTTACTTTTGATCCAACAGAGAATAGCGTGTTAGTAATAGAATACTTAAATGATTAATTAGATAATTAATAGTATAACTACTAATTAAAAATTTTATATTAAAATAATATTAATATAATTAATTAGTAATATAAGTAAGAATTAAATAATTAATAATTGTAGGTAATAATTAAATAATTAATTAGATAATTATCAATATAGTTGATAATCAAATACTTATTAAAATAATATCTAGATAAGTAATTAGATAATTAGTATTATAATTAGTAATTAAATTATGTGTTTAGTTATTTGATAATTAAACTAACTTCTAATTATATTATTTGTAATTGTATTATGTTGAAGGTAATTAAAATTAGAATTAATATGTAACTTGTATTTAAAATACAAATTAAACTTGAGTTTTTAATGAACTAACCACCTTAAATCTTAGATTACATTGTCAAATAGTTTTACAGGATTTAACAAGATTTAATAGCTATCTTACCAAATAATTTTTAGGATTCAACTTTAGTAGCATTTACTAAATCTGAATTTATAGGATTTTCTAAATCTTATTAAAGTTAAATCCTTTTTGTATCCAACTAAGTGCTAACCCATTATTTCAATTTCCTAAAATAATTGATTTTATTGGTTTTCTAGGCTTTTTCTTTTTGAAATGCATCTTTGTTTGGAGGCCTCTCATAAGCCAAAACATAAAAGCATAATTCTTACACATCACAGCTATTAAGATCTTGATTGCATTGACAGGAAAGGACCTTAACTTTCTTCCTAAAAGTAGCCATATCATGCCAATTGAAAATTCAATTTATTGTAATTTGGACTCTGTCTCACATGGTTTGATGGACAATGGATGCCTCAAGATTTAATAACCCCAATAATTGGCTTTTTTAGTTGAGATTACATTAGCCTAATAAGTTTGATTGAAGAGGACATAACAATTTTGGGTTATAGTAAGACTATTATAAATGTTAAATTTATTAGAAACTGGGGAATATATAATATATCTAAAAGAGTAAGATTTCAAGAAGGGCGTGCAATGCTTTTTCCATAAATAGAGGATGGAGAACTATCGACAATATTGACAGGTGACAAGGGAGACATGTGCAATGAGAAAAATAACTATCAATTTTGTCATGTTTGAACATGCTGTTGAATTTAAAACCCAGAACATACTAGCAGTGGCAACACAACAAAGCTTGAGGAAGAGATGACCTATGAAATTGAACTCATCTTGAGGGATGGTAACAAAGCTAAAAACTAGATGAATGCAGTCCATGGAGTTATCTTTGGTGGTAATGATTAGTGTGGTGTAGGATTTTGTGACACATTTTTAGAAGAGAATATGAGTGACATGGATTACATGTGGTTAACTTAGATATGACAACACTCCCCACAAAATCAATGTGGGATAATAGATGTCTACTTGAATTTATAATATTATTGAACGTAAGTGAACTAGTTAAAATTTTGTTGCTAAGAAATTGCGAGTGTCACAAGAGGGGTGCGATCGATCTATCAAAGAGAGAGTAATATGAATCGAATGCTTTTTGTAAAGTGCCAAATGAGAATTGTGCTAATGAATGTATTGATGAGATACTTGAACAAATGTATTAATAAGAGTGTTGATGGGGAGTCTATCAATGGGAAGAAGGGAGATCATAGAGATGCATATATTAGTTTGGAGAGTAGGGGTTATTTTTAGATGCAAGGAAATTATACGTAACAAGCATCAAATGTCTAGGAGGTGCTTGATTACGAACCACATCCAACAGATGCTCTATGAGAGAAAGTAGAAGTGGCTATCACTTGTGTGGCTATTTTGGTTGTCTTTATTATGTGAGTGACAACCTAAAAAGAGTATAGATATGAAGGAAATGAGATTGGAAGATCAAATTGAAAAAGGAATCTCTGTAGGTTCCTAAATGACATGGCCGAGGTAAGATGGGGAATAAGAGGAATACGTTGTGATGCCCCAAAATCTATAATTAGAAAAATTATTTATTTCATCTCTTAATTAATATGTCAGAGCTTTTAATAACTCTTTAATGTAAAAAAATCCAATGAAAATAATTATAAATCATATAAATCAAAATATTTTTATATTCATTCATCAAAATATAATTTACAATAGTCAGGAGGTTAGTCAATTCATCATTTTATCATTCTAGGCTCCTAACTAAAAAAGAAAAAACCAAAAATATAGAAGATAAAATTAAACCTGAATTATGATCAATCTTTCCCTACTGGATCCTGACCCCTTCTTGAATTGAAAACATGTAAAAATCACAAAGTGAGCTAATAGCTCAGTAAGTTAGTAGAACCTAGAACTCCAATTAATGGAAGACAATAGATAGCAATTGGCATGCAATCATTCAACTCATATCAGTATGAACATATAACTATAAAAGATGTAACAGCCAATTTAAATAATGTCATCTCATATGAACAATGAAAATATATATATATATATATATATATATATATATATA